GTCTCATTGTCACAGGTCGGCTAGAACTATGAGGTGAGTGAAAAGCACTCACCTCATAGTTCTCCTTTAAGGGCGCATTCTGTACAATTTTAACATTTTGCTCCAATTTTATAATTAGAGCTTTATATCAGTTCATGCCAAAGTTTAATCTGCTTATAATTTGCCTTCTCTGGTCCACCCCCCCCACCACCACCACCATCCCCTGCCAGGCTGGTGGGCTGGTGGGCTGGTGGGAGGGGCTGGTAGGGTGCTGTACAAAGCTTCCTGAAAACATTACAGCGCCCTGTCACAGTACTCCTCTCAAGAGCCCTCAACCCTGATGCAAGCGGCTGCCTCCTGCCTTCGAGTGGCGCCTAGAGCATGTGCCATGCCTTGGATACGCCACTGGTCAAATGTACCTGTCAATGAGTTTTGAATGATCTCAAACTGATACCATGGCTGGTGGGCTGGTGGACTGGTGGACGGGACTGGTAGGGGTGCTGTACCAAGCTTCCTGAAAACATTACGGCGCCCTGTCACAGTACTCCTCTCAAGAGCCCTCAACCCTGATGCAAGTGGCTGCCTTCGAGTGGCGCCTAGAGCATGTGCCATGCCTTGGATACGCCACTGGTCAAATGTACCTATCAATGAGTTTTGAATGATCTCAAACTGATGTTAAACATCTCAAAGCCCAAAGCCCGTTTGACACGTCCGTACTTTGCTTAGTGTCTTTACGTAGCCTTTACACACCTGAAGGTCCTTAAAGGGGAACTATGGGGTGAGCGATTTACACTCATCCTCACAGTTACAGCCGACCAGTGACAAAGAAGCTGTCACAGGTCGGCTCCATTGATCGGGAAGTAAGCGAACGCATACCATGGCTCGCTCACTTTCCGATTATCTCCCTGCAGAGAGCGGTGACTGTCAATCACCACTCCCCGCAGGGATTCCCCCCCCCTCTCCGATCCTCCCGCACGTAGCTGGGTGGATCTCAACAGCATTATCGGGATCTGTCCCTGCTGCGGCGCTCTCAGTATATCGTGGGCTACTGAGCTTTGGGTCACGGGAGGAGGTTAGTATATGTCCTCCTGTGACCCTAAAGAGAACTATGGGGAAAAACACTGACCCCATAGTTCTCTTTTAAGTAACCAGAGTCATAATATATAACAGGAAAAAGTCAATAGCCTGTAGTACCAAAGTGTCAAAGTGGACACAAAGCAGGAATCAAAGACACCATGGACTAAGATAGACAGCAAATTTTAGAGGTCAATCAAAGAAGATCCAACACTAGTGTACCAATGGATACTATGAAGAACAAATTCAAAAGCAATAAGGCCTTAGAGAGATTTACATAGACAGAGGGACCAACCAACCTCAGGCATAAACACATGGATATACATGTGTAATATAGACGGTTATAGATGTCCCGTAAAGGGTACTGTTGATGGCACAACACACAAAGGCATTTTACATGATTGTGCACTTCCAACCTTTTGGTGTAAGCCCTTTTCTGTTCCTACATGACTGTACCCTTGTAGACACGGTTTGGCTAGTTCAGTGTGGAGAAACCCAAGTGGTCTGAACGCAGCCCTGACCTCAACCTTGCTGAACACCTTCGGGATAAATAGGAACGTCAATTTCCGTGCCAGATCTTCTCATCTAACATCAGTACCTGTCCTCACAAATGGTCTTTTGGCTGAAAGGGCAAAAATTCCCACAGACACCCTCCAAACTGCTGTGGAAAGTCTTCCCAGAAGATTGGAGGCTGTGCGAGGGCATTTTAGGCCTCAAAGGAAGTGATGTCCAGGGCTCCTGTGCTACAGGCACGCCGGTTTCTAGTGCAAACCAACACATCTACGTATGGTCTAGGCACAGTTCTGAGTCAGGTAGACCAGCCAGGAGAAGAACATCCTATTCTCTACCTGAGCAGGAAGCTACTTTCCCGAGAGGCTGCACATGCCAGTATCGAATAGGAGTGTCTTGCAAACGTAGGCTGCTACAGTTGCAAACGGGGGGCCAACTCTATAGTAATGCCCCTGGTTTTGAAATATCGTGTCCATATTCAATATATATCAATATCGTGAGGTTATATACAGTAGTTGCCTACAGGTTAATCTTACCTTGAGCGGTTTGTGAACCAGAACAGCACCCAGCTCCCGAAGTACATTGCTCTCGTAGCGATGACACCAAGTTTTCCAATTCCTCTAACCTGCTGAGAAGGTCTTTAATATCTGGGGCAGCTGCACATCCACATGCCCGTCTTGGGATGTTGATACGGTGTGTAAAAACAATCTGATTTCCTTCATCTAACGTGGTCTCCTGATAGTTTTTGCCGAGCTCTGTCTTCGGCTTGACCTCGTTTTCAGATGTACCTTCTGGGTCCAGGTCTACAGAACACAGAGAGCCCATTGGAACTTTAATATTGTAAACATGGTTAAAGACTACTGGTTGATTGTCTTCAGGTAAGGTGACATTGAATCCGGTGTCTCTTTTGTGTCGGATGACTTTCCTTATGAGTCCACTGTTCACTTGAGAACTCAGCATTAATAAGAGGCAAGCAAAAACATTTATGGGATACCCCATGGCTAGGTCCTTCTTCAAAATATCTTCTTCTCAGTTACTTTTTTTTGATGGGTCACCTTTCGTAATTCCTCTTGGCCACGCTTTTCTAAAAGGAGGAAGAAAATGAAAGCAAGGTTAAAAACAAAGTTTAAAAAAATTGTGCGGCGCATATTATGCAAATATTTGGAACATCAAAGAGTATCTTCAGGACTTTTTCCATGTTGCTCGATGACTTGTTTGTCAACTTTTTTTGGTGGAGTTTAATCTGCTATAGCGCTCCAGGCCAGCGATGTGTGTGAGTCAGCGTCTATTTTAACGGAATCAAAGGAAATTTTAAAGAACGGTGAACCTTTTTTTTTGTGGCCTTCCAAACAAAAGTGAATTTTAATTCCAGGGCACACCTGCAGGAACTGCATTCATGACATCTGCTGAAGCTAGCTGATAAAACAGCAGGTTCTGTGATCCTTTAGATAACCGGTGTTTAAAAGTTGTACAATGGACTGCATTCCATCGGGGCTGAAGGACGAAAAAAGCTTTAGGCTCGTGTGTCTCATAGGTATTTCTAATGACATACTTGAGCTTAATTATCCTAAGCTTTCCCATAGCAATCATACATTTAATGTAGAACATTGCCCGGTGATTCTTTTTCATTTTTGATAAAATATGGAAGGGTTAGAACCTCTGTAACCATATAACAGCTGGGACGTAGAAGAAGGTGCGGGGTGCTGAATCTCTTCAAACAGTAGGTATTTTTAGTCAGGGCCACAAAAATTGCACTCTGCTCCCCCCCCCCCCCCCGTGCGGGTTTTTTTTCCCCCCTCACTCTATTCTCTAGTGCTGTCCCCAGCTTCCTTCTGGGTCTAGCGTTAACAGTCCTCTTTGGACTGTCAAAAGCCGACATGTCATTCCGGTCATTTCATGTGAGCCCAATCTGTCATTATACACACCCTGGGGGTACGTCATCACAGAGCCTGGGCTCACTATACTCGAGGAGCACTCAAACATCGTTAGTTGAGTGCTGCTCAGTTCTTGAAAAATGACCCCCCCCTCCTACCACTGGTGGTAAAAGAGATGTCACTGGGCTGGCTAGGAGAGTAAAGGAAAGGTTCGGCTAGGTGCTTGTTTAAAATAAAAAATACGGGGTGGGGGACTTCTGGGGGTGGCAGGTGGCAGAGGGGTGTTAAAATCCACTTTAAGCAGTGTAATGAGATTTATTACCCTTAGGCAGCTCCCTCCACTCCCAGCAGTGGTGGCCCAAGGTCTCTTAGTAAAGTCGCTCCAGATGCCGACCATTTTAGGCACTTTCCTCCTTGCACACCTAGACCACTGTCTGTTTTACCATCAAGGAATGTTCCC